CAGAAGTACCATCATCAGGGGCATGCCTGAGACAAACTGGCACTCAACCAACCTGTATCCAAGATGCAGCTCATGGAATTCCCAGACCCACAATACAACCCAGAATTACTGGCTTTCGTTTAGGATCTCCCTTTAAGGAAATGTGTTCCCAATGGTCCCTCCTTTACAAGGACCTTTTTAACAACCCCTTGTTTAGGTTTAGGGCTGGGAGGCCGTAACCGAACAGAAAGCCACCAACCTCATCCCACTCCATGGTGGCTTCAAACCCTCCTGTGAGGGATTGATCCTGTTGCCGGCTTATCAAAACAAGGTCCCTATAGAACCTTTGGGCATAACCGGGGCTTACAAAGGGTATTATGGGGGGTCCGCTCTCAAGGGTTGTGTAATACATATATATATATATATACATACACAGGTTTTGTTTGAAATGCGTACCCTTCCACTAATCTACGCTCCGAGCAGGCGCCTGTAAATGCAAAGCGCCGCCAGCGTGATCACAAAAGCCATTCCGAAAGCGCCAGCGGATGTGAAGAGGACTTCCTGAAGCTTCCGTCAACTAGGAGACAGTCAGGGGCATCTGTCAGGGTAGACATCCGAGTTTGAAGCTTCTGCCCTGAAGGCTGCTGTTGCGAAGGTGCTGTCAGGAAGACTACCGCCAGCATGCAATAGGGATTATATTGGGATTATACAGGGGTTATATAGGGATCATAGCTTGAGGTGCTGCTAGAAGTAAGTTGAAGCTCTTGGCAATTTCAGAAAGCAAGCTGCCAGGATGATTATGTGTATGCAATCGCTGAGCAGGGGGATGCGATGCAACTCAAAAAGTGGAAGCACCTGTACAGTATGCAGCTGCCCCAAATGCCTATTTACAAAAACTTTCGGGCCTTAGCTGATACTAGGGTTTATGGTTCTAGCTAGCTTGCAGGTTTGTTTCAACCTCTGGTAAGGTATGTTGACAGGCCCAGAATGGAGGCCAAACCCCGACCCCATTCACGTAGCAAGTAGAAAAAAGCTAGCTTTGCACCGTTCCGACCTGACGTGCTTTCAGCACTTTGAGCACTTGTGGTGCGCCCTTTGTGGCCATGGCCAGAAAGTTGTCAAGGCACATCTTATGAGGTAATGTAGACCCATGATTAATGAACACCCTCCTTTTAAGGGCCTAAATATTAGGATCCCTATTATAAGCCCTATTAAGGGGAGAGGGTTTGTGAATCAGGGGTCTGGATTACTTCTCCAAGTCCTCTTACGTAAACATTCCCAAGGGCAGGGTGAGGCTCTGATCCTAAGAGCCCCCATGGCTGGGGCCCTTTGATTTAAAAACCCCTCCTAGGACCCCTCAGGGCCTGCAGCACGTGCTGAGGCGGCGGACTGCCAGAAAGCAGGAAGAACCTGCAACTAGCGTTGAGACTTTGCCTCTCTCTCTATCTTCTGAACCCCCTCGTCCAACAACCACCCCACCCCTACCAAGAAATATTCACAGGATATAGAGGTGATTAAGCGTTCTTCAATTCACCGCTGCGTTCCAGGTCAAGCACAGACGCTCTTACTGTCCTCCTACCTATTCTTAAAAAGCCACTGAGGTCCTACGCTAAAGAGCCGGCCCAGCCAAGAAGTTTCATGAGAATCCCTCAAAACTTCTAAGATTGAAGGAAAAAGGTTGGGGATCAAACAGGTGATTGGGGCTTGCCTCTAGAGGTACGCACCTGGGGCCTTTTATAGAGCTCGCTTCGGACTAGGAGAGGTCATATAGGGGGCTTCCAACATTACGTAACTTTAGGGGAGTCCCAATAACTGTAATTACAATTTTGGGGCCGATATTGGGACCGGTTACTTATGGAACCCCCTAGATAGGACCGTTCCAGCCTGCCTATGATACCATGGGCGAAGCCTGGATCAATATGCCACAGTTTGGTTGCAGCCGAGCCCCACTGATGGAGGGACTACTGTAGGGTTTAGGGACTCTAAACCCTAACCCCAAACCCAACTACAACGGCCACTGCTATCGGAATCAGTGAACTTTTGAAACAGAATCTTGGGCAACTGATGCATCTGAGGTACCTCTACAGTATGCCACAATGAGTACATACCCTGGCCGGGTCTTGCTGAGAACGTGCAAAAACTTTGCAGCTTGGGGGAGATCAGGAAGCCACTGCAAGCACGACATGGGATTAATATCAAGGAGGAACACGGAGGGAGAAATGGGAGAATCAGGAGTCCTGCTCAAGTTCAGGCTCTAAGGCCACAAGGGTTTAGGGTTAGGGAGCAAAGGTTCTCTGAGGTGGGTAGCTGCCAGATGGGTAGACCCGAACAAGGCTCATACACGACTCCTGCAAGGGCCACGGGGTTGCATGAGCCCACCTGGAAAACTACCCACCTAGAAGTGTCGCTGAAAAAGGTTAACAAATGACAGCGAACTGAGAGCATCATGTGAAAATTTTGTCAGACCTTGAGGCCCTCCTGTACCGCTCAAGAACCCTGGGCACTAAGCCTTTAAGCCCAAACCCTAGCCTCCAGACCCTAAACCCTTTTTTGCAAACGCCCTACACCTCGAACCCCAACTCGAGCGATTTCAGCACCGTCCAAAGCCAAAGCGCCGAGCCTCAAAACCTCCACCAAGCCCTGAAACCCTTAGCCCTGAACCTTAATTAGACCCTTGCACCGGAACCCGAACCCTCAGCCCCAAACCCCGCCAACCCGATTCCTCCCCAAACCCGCAGCCATATATCTCCCCAATTTTCACACACCACACCCTGTGCAATCCCGCTGTCCACGTAATTTCCCAAGTTCTACCAACCTTTTTAAATAATGTAGCTGTTTGCTGAACCAAACCTAAACCTCCAAACCGCCTAAAACGCCAAACTCTGTACCCTAAACCCCCAAAACCCTAAACGCCTAAACCTTAAACCCCAAATCCTCCAAACCCTAAACTCCAACCCCAGCACCTGATAAGAGCTGAGCGGTCATGGTCACCGGCGGGCGTGCAACTTCCGAGCCATGGGAAGGCGGAAACCTGAGCTGTACGGTGTAGGGAGGTTTAGGGTTACGAGTTTAGGGTTTGGGGGTTTACGGTTTCAGTAGTGATGGTTTGGGGTTTTATGGTTCAGGGTTTTGGGGGTTTATGGTTTTAGGGTTTGGGGGTTTAGGGTTTTAGGGTTTAGGTGTTTAGGGTTTGGGGGATTAATGTTTGTGATTTTGGGTTTAGGGTGAGGCCTTTGTGGTCTAGCGTTTAGGATCCCCAGTAAGCTGTAGCTGAAACAGTCCCCTTCCTTGCTTGTGTGTAAAGAACTTAACACCAAAAAAACGGAAAAAGGCATACTCAACAGCCTGATAAGGATATATAAGGGCATGTACGGATATATGGAGATATGCAAGGACATGCAGGATTATGTAAGGATGCGAATGCGTGTATATATATATAAGCATACGTATACAGGAATGTTGCAAGGTCGAAGAGGTTAGTAGGGTGTGAAGAACGCAGAGGAACTCTGAACTACGGTACGGTGTAGGGTTTAGGGTTCAGTAAGGAATGAAGGAACGGTAAAGAAAATGTAAGCTACTTTATCATTCAGGGCTTCGGGTTTAGCAGGGGATCAAGGAATGCAGAAGGAAATGGAAACTACTGCAACCACTGTGATATCTAGGCTTAGGAATTAGTGACACGGAGTCGGAACATGATAATGTTTCAAGCTCTCTTCTTGAAGCAGGAAACCTTTTTTCCCAACTTTTTGTGCCAGCCACCGTCTAGGGGAGCCCGTTTGGCTGTTGCTACACACAGTCCCTGTTCACTCAGGAAAGACCGCAAAACACAATGTACGGGCTTTAGGGTTAAGCAGGGCAAACGCAAGGCAAGAGGAAATGGAAACCACTGTATTTCTTGTGGTTCAGGAATCAGGAATGAAGAGTGGAAAAGAACATGAAGATTACTACAGAAAAAAGAAATGTAAATTACAACATGGTGTATTCAGGGTTTGGGTCTTGGTAGGGATTTTTAGGAATTGCACAGCACACGGGAACTACTAGACTTGTTTTAGGGCTGAACAGGGTGGAGAGAGAACGAAAACTACTACGCACTTTGGAATTTACGTCGTAGTGACTGATGCGTTGTGCAGAGATTTGTGCTGCCTTACAGGGATCCAGTCCTCCATTATGCTGTAACGATCAAGGTGGCTGTTTGTTCTTTATTGTTGCAGCTGTTTAGGGTTTAGGGTTTCTTCTTCCATTGAGGCTAGAGTCTGGAGACGCGCACTTGAATTCGGACATGCTGGTTTGGGTAAGCAAGCTCACAGGGCCGCTGTCTGTACTTGGGGGCTCCTACATAACACCCGGAACAGAAATCAGCTAAACCCCAGAGCAAAATGGAAATGCAGCCTCCAAAAACCATTATGCACTCTGCATGGGGCGCTCGGCGCATAAAGCAGGCCCCACATCAGGAGCAGAAATGTAGGAAGGAGGAATTAAAGGTCCCAAAGCGGGACAGAGACAAAACTGAAACCTTGGCAGACAAGATTTAACAGGCAGGAGCTGAGATCATGTCAACATAACACAGCAGGAAGGGCCACAATCCGTCGGACAGTTGGGTTTTGGAGGTGGGCACCTTCGGGCTTGCTGGGCAGCAGAGCCCCTTGAAACTTGAAACAATATGGACTGCAGGTTGCTGTTTATCTCTATAAAAGCTAGCATATACTGAACATCCTTGATGGGCCCCGCAGGCACGCGAGCTCCAACTTGTGAATCTACACGCCTTGAACGAAAGCTTGGACTCTTTGCACAGCATTTCGTAATCCCTCAACGCCACCTGCAGCCCCAATAATTGCCTACAGCTTAGCCAGCAATTGCCCTCGAACAACAGGCAGTTGCCCTCTCAGCAGTAGGTAAAGCCCAAAAAATTGTAGGTCATTTTGAATTTGAGCTACAGGTCAACCACAGCATGCTCTCACATGCGCCACCCTTTTCCCGACCTTCAACGCAGCATCTGCCCAACAATTGTGGTTTCCAGCCGCGTATTCGCAAAGAGATGAATCTCATGGATAAAGTGCAGTACACCGTCACGCTTGAGCCGCCTCATCATAGCGCGCTTGCGGTCATGAAATTCCCGCTTGGACCGGCAGGTGTTCTTGAAAGTGACCACCGCCAAACATGGGGAGTCGAAGAGGCCTCGTCTGTGAACCTGATAGAGCAGTTGACAAGCATTCTCGAGCCCGTCGTTCATGTCGCAAACGAACCTTGAGCTGCATGAAAGTTGTTGTGGCCTCTTATTGAACTTTAGGTTTCGTACTAACGAAATGCTGACACAAGTTGAATGACGCTTGGGAAACAAGGACAGCTTCCGTGTATGCTCTGACTCGGCCTCCGCCAGCTTTGAAATAGCATCTTCCCCACGCATGCGCCAGTGCACGATGCTTCCCCCTCTGGCCTCTGCCGTGTCCCAGGAAGGTTGTTTCTGGGGTGTAGGGCTCGCGCTTACGTGGAGGCATCTAATGATTTACTTCTTTCAAAAGGAGCTGCTGACATATGCCCAATATCCCAGGCTGGATGGTGCAGCCTGGAAGAGTCCAAAAATATAGCCACACCCAAATCTTGAAACCCCGCAGGTCGTGTAACCCCAAACCCAGAACTGCAAATGTGTATTACTGGGCAGTGCAAAAAGTTCTCTAGATAAACCTGTTGCCCTATCATGTTTCGTGTTGTGTTTTCTACTTGACCTCCAGCACTACTTCCCCTTAAACCCCTAAACCCTGAACCCAAACAAGCCCTAAACCTAGTCCAAAACCCTGAAGCCATGTGAATCATTGTCTAAACTCCTAGCATCCCCCTTATTAACCCCTATAGTACTCCCCTCTATAATCCCCTATTTAACCCCCCTTTAAGGAATTTAGACCCTAAACCCTAAACCCTATTTAACCCCCTTTAAGGAGTTTAGACATAGCCCATGTGCCTCTGTGGCAAGGCCTCCCTTGGATCGGCAGGCCGCCAGATACTTCAAATGCTTGGCATCCTCGGCCTTCTCCTCTGGCCTGCCCACACTTTAGGGTTTTAGGGTTCTAGGGTTGAGGATTTAGGGCTTTAGGGTTTAGGGTTTTCGGGTTTAGGGTACAAAGGTTTTTGGGTTTAGGGTTTAGGGTACAAAGTAGGCAAAGTAGGCCACGCAGGTTCAGGGTTCAGAGAGGAGCTGAGGACCCTTGTTCACATAAATGTGAATATGTTTGTATATGGGGGCTTCGACATGAAGAGGCAGACCCAAATAGAGACCCCACTACGCAGCAATCCGAATTGCAGGGACTCCGAAAAAGGGACCCTCATTCCTGGAAACCCCCATATATGCACCTGGCAGCCCGGAAGAGGCCCCCAAGGGGCTCAATACTGAAGAGTACTGAAGCATCTTAAGAGGATTATATTATACGATTTTAGTAGTATACTATTATACTAGTATAGTATTCTATTGTTATACTGAGCCAGCAGATTGACAGAGTCTATAACACAAGCCGTGATGAAAGCAAAGCCAATGAGCAGGTGGGGCACTGAAAACTTGGGGGCCGAGGTGTTCACCCCGCAGCAGTGAAGTTGAACTTTAGGGTTAAGGGTTTAGGGTTTAGTGTTAAGGGTTTAGGCTTTAGGGTTTAGGGTTTTGAAATCTGGCATGGTTGGTAACCAAGACTTCAGCAACGGATCAGAGTTTTGTTCAGATATCTAAGTGGGCATCTGCCAATCTGAAGAACCACTCCGCTGCTACCAGCTGCAAAGCCAATGCACCCTATCGGAACGCTTCAAAGCGAGTCTCTGAAAAAATGAACCCTAAACCCCTAGGGGTTAGATAGAATACAGGGGTTATATTGGGATAATGGAAAAGAAAATGGAAACTACTATAATATGTTGGGGTTATAACCCTAAACCCTAAACCCTAGACCCAAACCCTAAACCAACCCTTCGCCTCGAGCCCCAGACCCTGGCGCCTGAACCCCCAGGACCCTCCTTGTACCGTTCAATAGGGGTAAATGGTCCCTAGTTGTGGGTATTTAGGGTCTGATGGAGGGTAGAAGGAAGGCTTAGGTCTATACCCTGAACTCTCGGGCCTGGGCCCCTTTAGACCCTGAACCCTAGCCCTTGCACATCCTTGAACCTTTAACCTTCGACACAACCCTACAACACAACTTCCCAGGAAAAGCCACGCCTGAAGGTCGTCAAGAAGTCGTCTCGATGCTCAGCATCAATCAGCTCTCGCACCAGAGGGTGCATGTAAGCAGCCTCGGGGATTTGACTAGTATAGGGATTAGGGTTTAGTACAGGGGTTATAATGGGATTATATTGTTTAGGGGTTTAGGGTTTTAGGGGTTTAGGGGTTTAGGGTTTAGGGGATAGGGACTCAAGGGGTTATGGGATAATGGAAAATAGAATGGAAACTACTATATTATAGGAGTCTAAATCAGCAAAAGGTGGGGGGGAGTTCATGTTTTTGGGTATCTTAGGGTATAGAATGGGGCCTTATTTGGAAGCTGTCATAGTATCAGGCCATTACAAGGACCCCACCAACTATGACTGTGGCTTTTAACCAGTTCGGTCCTTTGTAAAAGCAAATAAAAAGACATACCCCCCTCCCTGTCGTACCAAAATGAAATAAGGGAATCCTAAACCCTAAACATTCGTGCATTCTTCGGGAGTTGGAGCGATTTTTTCTCAGCAGGAGGGGTAATCATATACAGCCTCTGCTAGCCCCGAAAACCTACGTGGTAGTTTCTATTCAACTCTCCATTATTGGGTTATCCAATATCCTTTTCTCCCTTTATAATTGAGCTTTATACAACCCCAAATAGTAGCTTCCATTTCCTTTTCCATGTTCTTTTCTGTCTGGTTCTCCACTTGTATCCTTATCCCTAAAGCCTGATTACAAACTTCGTCAGCCGCAGTAGCACTTCTATATCCTACAGAACACCACAAAAGCTGTCCATATCCGAATATTTCCCAAACCCTAAACCCTGCGCCCTACCTAGACCCCCAAGTACCCTCTATAGACCCTAAATATGCCCAAATAGAAGCTGCACAGACCCTATTTCAGGGTACTTGGGGGGTCTAGGTAAACCAATGTTCCGAAGCCCGCTTGCAGATTTAAAGCTCCCCAGCTGTCCAGCAGTGACTCTGCACATACCAGGTATAAAGGGACTTTGATGGGAACCCCAAACAGGGAACCTCAAGAACATAGTAGGAATTTAATAGAGTATAAGGAATACTGGTGGTCCCTTTAAGGTATATACCATGTCCCGTGCCACACCAAAAACAGCGCATAACATAGAAAGCGTTTATCCAAGTTTTCTGCAACTAGTGAGTTCTCCATGATAAAAAGACTCCCCATAGGGCCCAACGTTCCACTATTGGGCTATTAGACCTTAAGGGTACCTTTTTCTACCCGTAATAGGGTCCGAATAGAGAAGCTGCCAAATTCCTTTCCGCAGGAGGCTTCTGATTTTGTTGCATCATGCTGAAGCAGGGGCTGGTTTGGGGGTAGGCAGCAGCCTACCCTAAGCCCTAAGGGTTTAGGGTTTAGGTTTGAGGAGCCTAAAGCCTAAACTAGAAACACAAAAAATTGTTCCCAAAACAACCACTTCCTAGCTATGGTCTCTAAGCTATCAAAGGTGGTTGTCTTGGGACACCTGTTCTACTTGCTGGGGGCTAGTAGGGAGTAAAGTAAAGGGATTCTACAGGAATTCTCTTCCCTTATTCCCTACTAACCACCAGTAACGCTAAACCCTTTTCATCATAAACCCTGAACCTCAAACCTAAACTGATACAGACCATAAACCCTATACACTAACTCCCCAAACCTTGACTCCTAAAACCCTATACCCTAAACCCCCAAACCTTGACTCCTAAACCCTATAAACCCCTAAGCCCTCAGCTTTTTTCGAGTCTTTTGGGGGTTCCCAGGCCAAAGACAAGCCACCGGGTCGCATGCGATAACTCGCTTCGTCCCAAGCTCTTTGGCCAGACAGTACCTAAAGGTTGCCTAAATTGGGGTTTAGGGTTTAGGGTTTATGGTGGGGGGGCTTCAGGGACTTAGCGGGGGCTCAGGGTTTAGAGGTTTAGGGTTTAGGGGTTTAAGGATTAGGTATTTAGGGTTTAGGGGGTTAGGGGGCTAAGGGTTTAGGGGTTAATTGTCTAGGGGTCAAGGTTTAGGGGTTTAAAATTAAAGTGTTTAGGGGTTTTCTGCAAGCTGTGATCTGACGTCCCAGGCGGTTTAGGGTTTTAGGGATTTAGAGTTTAGGGTTTTAGGTTTTCGGGGTTAGGGTGTATAAGCACGTTTGGTCGCTTTCCATAGAAATGGGGGGCCAGATAAGAACGCCAGCATACTATTATTCTAGAGCCACCTTTCTGACCCCTAATTTTTAGAAACCATCTGTAGGGTTCAGGCTTCAGGCGGTGGGGGATATAAGCGCCTTGGCATGCTAGCTGAACTGCGATTAGCCCCAGCAAATCGCAGCAAGTCTAATTGCTTGACATCTCTGCCAACTACGCATGAACCTCCAAGTCTGGATTTTCGTAAGGCTGTGGCATTTGGTTTCGTTGTGTAAGCGTAGTTATCGTGTTCAGCTTCCTGAAGTGATGTGCTACAGGAAGGTCTGGCTCAATGTTTGAGTGCACGTCTCATCGGCACCTACCGAATGTGTTCTGTACTCGTAAACGGTTTAGCCTTCGAAGTACTTGATTGCCTGCGCTTTCCATTTGTTTTCGCAACCACCGCCGCTGGAGTGACACATGGTGGAGATTGTTTTTGTGGACACCCAAATACGACACCAAACATATGCCAACCAGATGCACAAATTTCTAACAAGCCCTATGTTACACACTGATGTGAGATGTTACGCCACCTGACTTCCTGAAGGTTAGCTGCTAGAGTCGACAGGAAATCGAGCTCTAAACACCCTGCCTGGTTTGCACAGTTTTGTGAATGCGAAGCTATTGTCAAGGCGCTTGGGTTGAAGCATGAATAGCATGTGCAGTCACACAGGGATCCGAAGAGACCAAAAAGCTGAAATCATCATGCACAAACATGTATGTGAATGCAATAGCTGGTGTCTATAGAGGCCTTTAGGCAGTGGACGGTCCTAGGGACCTGAATTTTGAAAAGGAACTACCGGTCACATATTTATAACATGTATGTGTATCCATACACACACATATACATACATATGCATGCAATACAAATGACATGGACATACATCTACACACACTTTATGGTATAAAGCATGAAGATGGAGAGCCCCTGAGTCATTCCTTTGGGAAATTTATGAGCGTGACTCTATCGAATCCTATTGGGTTTCCTCCACTATCCTCTTGCATGACCTGCATATAGGGTAGTTTCCATAGATGGGGGGACCCCAATACAAACCCGCAAATGCTACAGCCCTTAACATGGGAAGGCCC